GGAAAGTACCAAGCAACCTTCTCTTTGCTGCTTTTGAGCACCACCTTGCCTGATAGAAGTCAGTCTTGGTGGAGGACTGGGATGCACAAATGGCAGCAGGGGCATGGACCAGCTCAGGAAAACCTCAGGGCAGAACCAAATGCAAGTACATCTTATTCTCTGCAGGGCTAGCAGGACAGTTAGGAAATAAAGGCCGGAACTGTGTGGGTGTGGCTGATCTTAAAAACCATCATAGACAGAAGAGCCACGTGACTTTAGTGACTGATGGAAACTGCTCTCCTGCTTCTGAAAAAAAATCAGTGACTTTATTAATAGGTTTCATTTAATACAGTGTTTGAAGGCTACCTGCAAACTAAAAAAAAGTGTTTCTTCTGTAGGGCCTCCTGCTCAGTTTTGTTTTCTGACCTTTCTAAAATGCTTGTGTGCTTCTCTTGAAGGGTATTTGTGCACTATCTCAGAAGAAACAGGAGCCTGCTCTACCATCAGTTAAGGATTACAGTCTCTCAGAGTTGTTGTCCCAGTTGGATTCAGGGATTTCACAGACTATGGAAGGCCCTGAGGATCTCAGCCGCAGCTCTTCTGAGTCCAAACTTGCCTCCAGTGACAAGCGGCTTTCAGGAGTTTCATCTGTAGATTCAGCTTTTTCATCCAGAGGATCCCTTTCCCTTTCCTTTGAACGGGAGAGTTCAGGTAATGGTCAGGTTTTCCTTTGTAGTTGTTTGGATTGGGGCATGGGAGTCAATGGGTTGGAGAGTAGAATAAATAACATTCTGGAAATTACTGTTAGCCTTGCTTTCTCTTGCTGTCAGCACTACAAATTTGTTTACTGGAGGTAGTTATTTAAAAGGAAAAAATAAACAAAAAAAATTATGTGGCTCTCAAAAATGATCTAATGAGAAATAATAAATCTCATTTACTTTTGTAAAGGAGTAAACTCCCATTAAAGCAATTACAGAATCAGTCATGTAGAGGTTGGTTGGAAGGGAGGTCACTACTAGTCCAGCATCCTGCTTGACGTGGGATTAAAGCCACTGCCCAGTTAGGTCAGCTGAGTTTGTGGCTTTTTCAGTTATACCAAGCCTAAACCTCAGGACTGTAGTTTTTGAGAGGACTCAAGCCACCTTCTGAGCAACCCCTGGGGCCATTGTGATAAAGACCCCCTCACTTTTCATTCCAGGGCTGCAAACCCCAGACATCTGTTTTCCAGTTAGGTAAACAATGGTTAGTACAAAGAGATCAACCACAACATCCTTTGGTCTTTATGCCACAACAGAGAGAGTTAGTGGGGGCCCAAATCTGACCTGAAAATGTTTAGGGATTTCTGTGGAGCAAGAGGGGGTGAATTGCTGTGCAGGCAGCTCATTGCTGAAACCATGGGCAGGTAGGGTTTGATGGGTATCAGAACTGTGATGCTGTCTTTTCCACAGAATCTTAGAACAGTTTGGGTTGGAATGGACCTTTAATGAGCAGGGACATCTTCAACTAGATCAGGCTGAATGTGTTCAGGGACGTGGCATCCACCACCTCTCTGGGCTCTGGGCAGCCTGGTCCAGTGTTTCACCACCATGGTAAAAATGGTAATCATGGTAAAATGTTTTTCGTGGTAAAATTTTTCTTCCTTGTATCCATTTAGATATTGGTACTACAGATATACAGAAGAGGAAGTTAACAGAGGCGATTTTATCCGGAGATACCAGCAAGCTGATGAAGATCCTCCAGCCTCAAGATGTTGATATTGTTTTAGATGGGAACTCCAGTCTTCTGCACTTGGCTGTTGAAGCAGGTCAAGAAGAATGTGTCAAATGGCTCCTGCTGTACAATGCTAACCCGAACCTCACCAACAAGAAAGGGTCCACCCCTCTTCATGTAGCCATCGAGAAGAAATTTAAAAGCATCGTGGAACTGATTATGGCCAGGAAAATCAACGTCAATGCCAAAGATGAGGACCAGTGGACCGCTCTTCACTTTGCTGCCCAGAACGGGGATGATTTCAGCACCAAAATGCTGCTTGACAAGAATGCATCCTTAAACGAGGTGGATTTTGAGGGCAGAGCCCCCATCCACATAGCCTGCCAGTATGGCCAGGAGAACATCGTGCGCATCCTGCTGAGAAGAGGCGTCAACGTGAACGTCAAGGGCAAGGACGACTGGGTGCCCCTTCACTACGCCGCCTGGCAGGGCCACCTCCCCATCGTGAAGCTGCTGGCCAAGCAGCGCGGCGCCGACGTCAACGTGCAGACCGTGGACGGCAGGACCTCGCTGCACCTGGCCGCCCAGCGCGGCCACTACCGCGTCGCCCGCCTCCTCATCGACCTGGAGTCGGACGTCAACGTCCGCAACGGGCTCCTGCAGACTGCTCTCCACATCGCCGCCGAAACCGGCCACACCAGCACCTCCAGGCTGCTCCTCAAGCACGGGGCAGACATCGAGGCCGCCACGGCAGAAGGATACACGGCGCTGCACTTGGCATCGCGCAGCGGCCACTTAGCCACAACAAAGCTGCTGGTGGATGAAAGGGCCAGCGTTCTAGCCAGGGGCCCTTTAAACAGGACAGCGCTGCACCTTGCTGCGGAAAACGGGCACTCCGAGGTAGTAGAAGAACTGGTCAGTGCAGAAAATATCAATATTTCTGACAGCGAGGGGTTCACAGCTCTTCACCTGGCTGCGCGAGGGGGGCACGCGAAGGCGGTGGAGGTTCTCCTGAAGCACGGGGCCCACACTGACATGCCGAGACCCCAGTGTCAGACCCCGCTCCCCCCTGCTCAGCACGGCAGGAATAGCTCACTTACCGTGTTGTTAAGTGACACTTAAGCAAAAAGTGCCCCGTGGTGCTTTTTTATCTGGTGTGAGGAGGCTGCTGGAGCTCAGGGCCTTCTCCAGCTGTGCAGGGATGTGCTCACCAGTGGTAGCAGCTGATGGACTGAGGTGTTTGAGTGTGACTGAGGCCAGGTGCAAGGCCAAGAGCTGGAGTCTGCCGTGGTCTGTGTCACTCATTCCATGCCTGCCCACCCTGCCTGGATCCAGACATTCCCCTCCCCAAGGACGTTGTGAGAGAAGGATGCAACTTGTGTGTTCTCCCTGCTTTTTTTTTTTTCCTTATGTGCCAAACTAATTTAAGAACTAACATTATGCTTTTTTTTTATTTTCATCAAAACAGAAAGAAAAAAAAAAAGATGGCATAGATTTGTGGTTCATTGCAGCAATTGATATTTTGGGCTGAAAGCCTCCAGTGTAGAATAAGCACAGCAGCAGTCTGCTTGAAATTAATGCAGGAGTTGAGGAAAGGGCTCTTTAAAGTACAGTTAATCACGTTTCTGCTAAGTTTTTTAATGGAGACATTGATTACAGATTTCCACATACTCAAAGTTTATGAGGCAGACTTAATAATAAGGCAGGATTCAAAAAAAAAATTAAGCAGAAGTAAAAGCTTAATACTGCTGTCTTCATGTACAGTACTACCTTGTATGTATCCTGAGATCAGTAAACTGGACTAGGTGCTTAGTGGTTTGTCTTAAACGAGCAAGTCAGGAGCTGAAATTCATACTGGACTGAAATGGATGGTCTGTTCTAACATCATTGTACCAATTTGTAAAACACTGTTTGGAGGGGCTGATGACTAGAACTGATATACTGTGTATATAGGATTTCTACCTGTTGTACGCTTTTTTTCTACTGAAGAAAATAGATTGCTTAGAGTGGGTATGTTTTAATACACCTTTTAATTTCACTCTTTTCAAAGTACAAATGTGGCCTGTTATTAATAAAAGACTGTGTTCCACAACTTCTGTGTATTTTGGAGTCAATAAAGCAACTGAAAACCCATTGACCAACAACAGCAGAACACAACTACCATGTGTTTAGTGATCATAGAATAGGTTAGAAGGGACCATAAAGACCCCCTGATCTGAGCAGACACCTTCCACTAGATCAGGCTGCTCAGAGCTCCATCCAGCCTTGTATTGAATGATGTTGAAGCCCAAACTGTTGACATGTAAGGCTGCCCTCAGTTTTACATTCCCCTCAGCTTTACAGAAATTCAGAAGCTTGCAGGAATGTGAGGTGCTTGTTATTTACAGAATAAAATTGTAGAATAAAGCCTCACATAACCTAATCTTTATGCATGTAACACACTGATGTACAACTGGGATGGTTTCCTCTCGTGCTGTACCTGATAGTGGAGAATGAAGTGGTATTAAAAAGCAGATGGTGAAGCCACGCTCATGCCACTACATGGAGGCTACAAAGCAATGCCACTCTCAGCAGAGCATGGCAGTCCCAGCAAGCTCCTAAAGGTGCTGACAATGAAACTTCTCATTCAGCAAACAAAACTATCATTTTCCTGCTTCCTTCCACTTTGGAGACCAGTAACTTGGCCATGTTACAATACGGCAAATTCAGCCACAGACCACTTGGTCTCTCAAGCTTAAACGCTGGGCTTAGCCTAGCACACACCATTCCCTTTGATTTCACAGTCTCGTGAACAGTGAGATTAAAGATACTTAAATTCCGGTGCTTACCTGAAGTGCAAAAGAGCTGTAAGAGCAGGTAACAGCAGTCTTGCACCTCCTAATAAAGGCAGTTCACACCAGCAAGGGGAAAGTACACTTATAAAATGCTTTTAAAACAGCTCAAACACTGCTTCGCCAGTGCATTCCTTCAGTGCCTAATAATAATAGTACATTAGCTTCTAATTAAACATGAGGCCACACTCATGAGTCTGTATTTCCATGCTGTCTTTCACAATAACAGGCACCAGCTATGCATTACAGGGAAGGCAGCACAGCTGGCACTAGACAAAAAAAACAACAAAGGATTGCAATGACATGCTGCCAGTATTGGAGTGGGTATTTTTCCCTGTGAACCAGCCTTCCTTGGGGGCAGAAGGGGTGAGTGGGGGTGCTAAACTGGCACTAATGCAGCAATTAGGAATTACTGTTTTGTAAAGGTCTCCTACTGGTGACTTTTCTAGCCCTCTGTGCACTCCTCTGACTTAGCTGAAGTCTCTGGCTGTTGACCTAAAGCTTACAGGCATTTCTTTGTCTCTTTCCAATCTCAGGGGTGTTCTTTAAAGAAAACCCTGTAGGCTTGGGAGGTGGGTTTGAGGTGGTGTGTGACACGGAGGGCTCCATGGAGCTGAGCCTGCTCCAGGTCCCCCAGCTGCTCCCTGGCAGGTGAGAGGGCTGAAAGGTGAACATCAACTCTTCCTTGTCACCTCCAAGATCAGGCAGAGGTTGCTTGCAGGGTTTCTGCAGACACGGTGCTCATCCATTTCCTTTGGAAGTGGATGGCCCCGGGTGACTATTTCAGCCCAGGGAGAAACATAAGAAAAAAACGATACATTGAGATGATGTTCATGACCATAACCTTCACCCTTCCATCTCTAGATGTGGTTTTTCTGCCTGCACAGCTCTGGTGGCACAGTCTGGGTTCCTGCCAGCACCCGCTGGTGCCGTCTCCCCGGGCAGGAGCCCCGGCACGGGGAAGGTGCCTCACACTATCCCCATTCCTGCCCCATTCCTGCCCCATCCCAGCCCCTGGGGCAGACACAGCCCCTGCTGCATTACCTGTCTTTGCAGCAGTTTGTTCCCAGCGCCAGGCAGCTTTATTTACCTGCTGCTGTGTTTGTACAGGCCTCGAGAGGACTCGACAAGCCTGCGGTTCAAACACGCTGCTGCTGCTGCTGGAGGTGGTGGAGAGGGGAGAGAATTGCTGGCTGATTGCAAAGAGGCCCCGAGGCAAACCTCAGCCCTTTCATTCCTGCCTCCTCTCCTCTCTTGCACCACCTTGGCTCCACTCTACATCAGGCTTGCAAGAAAAACAAGGCGTGTGGGAGCTGCTCTGCAAGGCCTCCCTTAGCAGAGAGCTCTGGAGGAGGGGACATCTCCTCTCCCCCACACTCCTTTAACCCCGAATGGGTGGCATGGGGTGCAGAACAGCTCATGGGTGTCTCCAAAAATCCCAGGCAAAGCCTCCAGGTGCTGAAGTGCTCATGGGGAGCAAGGCTGTGTTACCTCCCTGGCTGTCTCCGGGCTCAGCTGTTGATCAGATCCCATTGTTCCTGTGTTTTGGGGAGGAAGGATCCAGCCTTTCCCCTTCCTTGACTTTTGATGTGTTTCTTTGGAAGAGACCCACACAAGCATGGAAGACAGAGCAGTGGGTCCTTCAGACACCAGCCCTGGGGTCAGGGGGTTGAGGGAAGATGCCCAGCTGCACTTTGCCTGTCCTGTTCTTTGTCCAAAACCACCTGAAAGCACATCCAGGTCTCTGCATGAAGCCTGTAACAGCTTTGGCCACACCACTTTGGTATTGGAGAGGGATGGATCATTCACAGCACTGCTCCACTGCCTCCCCTCTCCCTCTTCTGGGACGCTCTTTCATCCAGGGCTGTGGTAAAATGCCAAACCCAGGAATCACAGAACTGTTCCGGTTGGAAAAGACTCCAAGATCATCGAGTCGAACCATTTACCCAGCACTGCCATGTCCACTACTACTGCCAGCCGAGCCAGGGAGAGACTCACACCCCAAAGGGAGCGCTGATTAAGCAGGGCAGGGTGAGAGCACAGGAAGCCCTTTCCAGGGGAGGTGGCACAGGCAGATCCCAACACGTCCCGCTGAGCGTCAGGGGGAGACGCGGGGCCGGGAGGGCAGTGAGCTGTGATGGAGAGCAGGGTGGGGAGGCTGTGCCCCGGGGACATCCTGCAGAGGCTGGCATGACACCCAGCTGGGCTGGAAAACTCTCACTGCTGCACCAGAGAAGTCCTGAGCTTACAGAGAAACACTCAGCAGGCACCTGAGGAAGAATAGGATTTAAAATCGCATTATTTACCTGGTGTTTTTGAAATACTGTGGGAGAGGCTTTCAGGCTTTGCTCTGCAGTGATGTAGAGCTAAGACCATTTAATAGCTAATAAAGAGCAACTTGCACAAAAACACCTCGTGTGAGAGACTCGAGTAGAAACATGCAGAAGCGTAAGGCAAACACTACAGCTGTGGCAATGAGAAGGGGGAAGATGTTCTGCACTCTCCCCTGGAAGAGCAGGCAGGAGCCCGTTTGCTCTGCCCCAGAGGCACAGAGTAACCCTTGGCCGTGACAGGAACAAGGGCCGTGGGCCAACTCAGAACATGCACAAGGAGAGAAATCTGCCTGACGAGTCTCCCCCACCCCAGTCTCCACTGCCTGATCAGATCAGAGGAAATAAATCCTGGCAGAGCCAGTTTTCACAGGAGTTCATGCCCTGACCCTGCCTCAACAGGGACCTGGTCCAATACGTTTCCCTTTTATCTATTTAAATAGGATTGCTTGTCTTAGTCCACTAACAGGCAAAACATGCCAAGTCCTGTGCTGAATTACTGATGTCTGCTGTGTTTTAAAACCCCCAGTGAGGCTGGCTTTGCCCCAGCATTGCCTTGCTTTTGCAAAGATGCTTAGCTAGGGGCGTTGTAGGAGGTTTAGCAGGGCACAATTATAACTGACATTGAAAACTTCTATCACAGTAGCTCCATCCAAAAGAACACGTGCAGTAGGGTTTAGGCATTTGCAAAATCAAAGTCTAGACATTTGTGGTGAATATAAAGGCTGACTTCAGCCTAACCTCTGGCAGTCTCCACAGCTCACAAAAGACTACATCTTCCTTTAAAAAAAGATAAGATTTAAAATCTATTGAGCAGACCAGGCCATCCCAACTTGAAGAAGATGCTGGACGCCCTGAGATTAACTCAGCCTGACCACTGACTTTCCAAAGCAGAAAAGCCTTCATTCCCCAGGTCTCAACATAAATCCAGATTCTGATGGTGATTTATTAAAGAAAGGTGTTACTGCTCCATTGTTCACCAAGCCAAACTGCTCTCAGGATCATCTCTGTTCTCCCCTTATCCTCAGGGCTCCTGACACATTTCTCACTGCACCAATTCCCAGGGATGAAGTTTGCTTTAGTGCAGCAAACCAGGACAGCCAGTGCAGCTGCAAAGTTCAGGTCACAAGTACAACCCACAGTCTGCACCTCCCTCCCTTTCACCTGTGTTTTCTCTGCCAAAAATGTCCCAGCTGTAGGTAATTTCCAAAGCAAAAATCTTTGCAGAATTGCAAACTGAGGGGCTCACTTCCCATCCTTGTCTCTGCCAGCTTGGAGAATGAGAGAGCTGCAGAACTGCTCCTGGCATCCCCGTGGCCATGCCAAGGACACAGCCCCACACCTGCTTTCAGCACAGCACCCTGTGTTTCCTTCCCAAAGGCCTGCCAGGATGAGGCAGCCCTGCAGCAGCCCTGCAGCAGCCCTTTGCCCCGGGTGGCAGCTGGCTCCAGCTCATGGGGCTGGCTGGGCTTTGCCAGCCAGTTTTTGGCAGGAAGGTGGTGTTGAAGATGCCACTGGACTTTATCCATTCATTTCTCCTCATTAGTAACCAAAACAGCCACTGGAGCCAGGGTGAAGCCCGATGGTGAAGGGTGTTGTTAATGAGCTGTGCTGGCAAGCACACCCAGCAGAGAGAAAGGGCTGGGGAGTCATCGTGGCTCAGAACCAGCCTGTGCCACTGGGGAAGCTGAGGCATACCCTGATCCTCCCCCTCCTCCCTCTGAGCTTCCCTTCCCTCTCAATTAGCTGAGAGGTAACTCAACTCCTCCTTCCTGGAGGAGTTAAAAGAAACAATAAACTAAAAGGCCAGCAAATGTGGAGGACTACACCAGCCTCGCCCTGCTGGCAAAGGCTTGTCCCTAGAGGAGGTTCCCTTTTTCCCCCCAATATGTGGGTGCTGGCAGCAGAAGGGAAGCAGGGCTGGCTTGGGGTCAGGCAGAGGGTGCAGTCCCCTGGCACAAGCTCACCCTTGCAAAGGGACTGTTCTGCTCCACAGCATTTCAGGACTATGCTGACACTCTCCAGCCTGAAGCGAGCCAAGAAAAGGTGCTTCAGGGGAAGTTGTCATTCCTTTAACAACAACAGCCTGTTTCCAAGGCTGGAAAGAAGATTTTATGCATCTGACTCTCAAAACCAGAGGGATGCTGACCTATGGGACTTGGCCAGCATTGTGTGTGATGCCTGCAGACATCTGGAACTGCTCCTTCAAACGCCACCTCCTCTGCTCCCTCCTGGCCCACACTGCAGCACCCTGCTCCAGCCAATGCTCTGCAGCATCCAGAAAAACGTGTAAAGTCAGGTTGTTTCCACGTAAAATTCCCAGAACTGCTCTGAGGTGTGCCACAAAGGCCTCCAGGGCATGCCACTGCTTTGTCCCCTCTGTGAGCTGGCAGGCAGGGCTCTCCCAGTGTCACAAGCTGGCACGAGGCTCACAACAAGGCAATGGGACCTGCAGGGAAGCACCCAGCCCACTGATCAACCCCATCTGGGCTCTTTCCGAGGAATCAGCGGGACAGGGTGGGGCTGGGTGAGGTAGGAAGCAATAGGGATGGGATCTCGAGCCATTCCAGCTTTTTGGAGCGGCTCTTTCCTCGCTGCCCTCACAGGGACAGCCGGGTGGCCGTGCCCCTCCCTGCACAGGCACACACCTGTGCTCACTCATGCAACACTCATTCTTGTTTTTACACTGAAAATTCTCCACTTCTCAGGGCAGGGAGCTCTCAGAGCACCACATCCACCAAACACCCCCAGCACAGGCTGCTCACAGAGAGGGGCATCACTCTCTGCTTCCAGGGGCAGGCTAAAACACGAGGATGGGGATGGCAGTGGCTCATCTCTGCTTGTGCAGTGCATGGTCCCACAGCAGCCTGCAGCTCTCCCCTTTGGCTACTCCATCCCAGCTCCCTGAGGTCTATCAGAGCATCCACGGGGCTAAAAGCTGCCTCAGGGTGTGTCCCTGGAGGCTGACAAAGGTTGGAGTTAGACACATCACAGCCCCATAATCCACTCCTGCTGTCAGAGAGGAAGCAAATCCCATCTGCAAAGAAAGAGGAAAAAACACCCACTTCCTCAGCCATGAACATTGGTGTGGTTGTTCCCAGCTCAGAAAGCACAATCTGGGTGAGACCAGCATTCCTCAAATTCGGTTTTGCCTCAAGAGTTTGCTGTGTTAAAAGCCCAAGGAAAAAATCAAATCATAATTCCTCTCTAAGAAGTTAGGAAACCCCAGTGCTCACAGGGAAAATGCCTTCCACATCCCAGTCACTTATCACAGTGTCCACTTTATCAATAGTAAATATTTAAATATTTCCAGAATCTTACACTGCTCTTCAGTTACCTTTTTAAAAATTATTAATAGATACATATGTATTGTTATACATATTCAGACACATAAATAGATATGTGTGTGCATATATACATTAAAATACATTTAAAAAATCCTTGAAAGCATTTATTTGACAAGTCTAAGGGCATCCTGCCTTTAGATTCTGCTTCTACCTCCTCTTGTCATATTTAATAATATGACAAGATATCCTCTGGTCATATTTAATCATATTCAATAAGTCATGTTTACCTTATTTTTAGCAGTCACATGAGACAGGATACAAACTCCTACTGCTTCCCCTACAATGCTACTTGTTGACAACAGCTCCACCCCTATCCCATCCCAACAACCCAAATCCAAACCCAGGTGCAAGGACTTGGGTCCAAAATGGTACATGAGGCTGCTGCTCCTGCATCACCCAAAAATAAAGGAGCTGCAAGTACCTTACTTACTTCTGGCCTCACCTCTTTCCAGGGCTTTACTGTGGTTTATTTGTGCCAGGCTGGATGGGGCTCTGAGCAATCTGCTCCAGTGGAAGGTGTCCCTGCCCATGGCAGTGGGGTTGGAGCTGGATGATCTTTAAGATTCCTTCCAACCCAAACCATTCTATGACTCCTCCCCTTGTCCCCCAGCTGCCTTCTTCACCATATTTTAATAACTGTTGCTCCTCTAAGGGTCATTCTTTGGCCCACAAAGAAGTGTTTTACCAAGTATTTCTTACTTCCACTGCAGATATACCCGTGCACACACAGGGTGGGCAGTTACAGAGCTACACTGCTTTTTATCAAGCCTCTTCCTGCCCTTCTGCTGTTTTCCCAAGCTCTGCTTGTTTCCCCAGGTCTTGAATGTCTCCCAGAATAACAAAATTCACCAGAGACCAAGATGCAAGGGGCAAAAACTTCCAGCCAAGTGGATGAAATCTCCCAGCAAAGTCAGGTTTATATATCTCAGCTAAAACTGTCCCCTTGCCCCTGGTGAGTGCCAGGGGCTCTGTGCCAAGCCCTGGCCACTCCTCACCAGCCACTTGTCGTGCCAGAGGATTATAGCTTCCTCGAAGGCCTCCTGAGAGGCTTCAATTATCTTCCTTGATCAGATATCAAAGCTCCTGTGCCAGCAGCAGACCCAGCTGCGGGAAGAGTCGCTCCTGAGCAAGGCACTGGGTGTCCTGCAGGGACAGACAGCCCCTCAGCTCAGCTACACAGAAAGTTCAGTTCCTTGAGAGGTCTGTTCTGGGAGAGGCCCAGCCCAGCTCTTGAGAGATGCTGGAGTGTGGCACTCACATTCTCTAGACACCTTTGCCCAAGGTTTTTCTCCTGGGAAGCTGAAAAGCAGCAAGAGGCCTCAGAGAAAAGGGAAACAATTCTTATCTCGTTTGCTTCTCCTGTGTTGTGCTCATGTGGAATGTGTTTGGAGATTGTTTACCCACAGGTGATTGTTTCATTGGACTCTGGTGTGAGTTATTTTCACTCATTGGCCAATTGGGGCCAAGCTGTGTCGGGACTCTGGAAAGTCACAAGTTTTCATTATTACCTTTTCAGCCTTCTGCAAGTATGTTTTCTGTATTCTTTAGTATAGTATAGTATTCTTTAATATGATATAGTATAATAAAGTAATAAATTAGCCTTCTGAGAACATGGAGTCAGATCCATCATTCCTGCCTTCATTGGGGCATCCCTGCAAATAAAACACTGGGGCTTTGGGGGCAGCCCTGCTGCTCCCCAAGAAACCATGAGAGCTGAGTGAAATCATTGGTGCTGCTGGAAAAACCTGCCAGAAGGCCAGAGCCAGCCTCAGTTTTTGGGTTTGGCTCCCCCTCCAGTGCTTTTAACTCCTTAAAGCTCTTCCTGAACAGCCAATCCAATCCTGCAGTTTTGCCCAAAAGGCATTTGGCTGACAGCAGGAAGTTAAGATGTCAGTACAAACACATTTGATGCCAGCAGAGTTTGGCTGCAGATCCAACTTGTGACACAATTAATAACTAATGAGGATATAAATATTATATTGTGACACACATAAGATCACCAGGTTTCCACAGAATATGTTGTTGTTGAGGAGCCAAGAAATAATCCTTTAACCATGGATTAAATTTAGTGCTATTTGACATCCCATCCTTCAATCAAGCCATTAAGAGAACCTGGACAGGAGGAGTTCCTCACCAGAAAAACTCACATCTGGGTGAGATATTTTCTAACATACATGCAAATAAGAAGTTATGAGGCTCTCTGAGGAATGTCTGCTCCAATCTGGTGCCTGCTTTGTGCCTAGGCTGCATTAAATGCTGATTTCTTGTCTGAAAAAGGTCATTAAGCTGAAAATCTGTCCTGTCTTTCTTTCAACTCAGTCTTAGCTGCAAACTTCACCCACCAGACTTTAAGGCAGCTCCGAAATGCCCACGTTTGGTGTCTCTTGAAGCAGCACTTGCAGGGGTGTTGTCACTGCAGGGAGGCCCAGCAGTGACATGTGGCTGTGCCTGCAGTCACCACACATTCCAGGGGTCCAGCCTGCCCTTCCAGGTGTGCCAGCTGCCTCTGGAAGGCTGCTTAAGCCTCTCTTCATCCCCTGCTCCTCTTCTGAGCCCTGCCCTTTGAGTCGTGGTGGATTCATGCACCCAGAGCTGAAAGGTGAACCCTCAGTGACTCACAGGGCAGGGGGAGGGAGGGAGATGAACACGAAGGACAGCCCGTGTATTTCAGCCCTGTCCACTGGAGATTTTCTCTGCCCTCTGTATCCTGCAGGGCTGCACTGTGATCTCCAGAGGCTGGAGGTGTCTGCTTCCCTGGAGAAGCTGTTCCAGTGTTTTGTGGGAGTACAGCTGCCAACATCCTCTGTAACTCAGTCTCTGACCCTGCACAGTCACTGCAGTGTTTTTCTCCCTGCCACCTTGAGTGGAGGTCCCCAGGGATCCACCTTTCACTTCCTCCTACCTTAGCTGAGTTATTAGGGATCTCTCTCTCTAGCAGCAGCAAAATGGGGACAGACATAACAAACTTAAGAGTTCAGTGAAATGAAAGGCAATTTCTGTAACAGAAATGTGGAGGAAGAACATCAAGAAGAGAGCTGGAAATGAAAAGCACATTGTGGAATTATGCAGCATCCCTGTAACAAAATCAGTTATACAGCTACTTGTGAGGGCACCTATTTGCATTATTCATGAGGTATTAATTACACAACTCTTAATTTTTCCTTTTGAGACTTTGCCACTAGAGCTCAACACCTGCAGCAGGTAACCCAGCAGCGCTTTTCTGCCTCCAACACAGCCTATTCAGTTTTCTCCTCCTACCTAATTATGACAATTACTTTCTTATCCTCCTCTTTTATTTTCCTTGACTCCCATTGTTTGAGCCAGCCATTACATCTTTAATGTTGCTGTACAAAGTTGTTCTCTGCAGACCCCACCCAGGACAGCACCATGATATCACCTGGTGTCAGGTGACAGCTGAAATCAGCTCTCCACCAGGTGTTTTTCTGACAGCTCCTAACAAAAAGGAGGCTGTGGGTCTGTTTTGTTTTCCTCTGAGTGCTGCATCTCTCCCTGGCCTCCTCTTACCATCCATTCCTGCTGGGACCATGGTGGATAAACACAGATGTGTGGTCTGAGGCTGTTCCAGGAGTGACAGGGGTCCCAAGGAAGGGCTCAGCCCACTGGCCCAGCACAGCATGCCAGCCTTGCAGAGCTGAAATCCACAGCACCGAGGGTCTAAGCATCACCCAGGACTCAGTGCAGGGTCTCCTCCCACACATCCCAACCCACAGCAGGTAACATTCCTACCAATTAATTATTCAGAGCACAAAGAGAGGACCAAAAGAACGCATTTGCAAGGCCTAGAAATACCTGACCAAGCCAGAGACTAAAACCAGGGTGAATAGAGCTACTCAGCCACACCATCACAGTTGTTGAGGTTGTTCATTAAATATAACTTTTCACAGCCAGACTGAATGCAGCACACCCAACTTCAGATACCCCTGCAAGTGGAAGGAAGGAAGGAAGGAAGGAAGGAAGGAAATCTCCTCTGATGAGTCCTCCTGTGGACACGAGCCCAGAAGGAACCGAAGACCTGCTCTAACATTCTGCTTTAAGCAGGGACTAAAGGCTTCCAGTGAGTGCTTCTGGGGGTAATTGTGTGATCCACCCTGAGCTAACAGAGCTTCTTTAGTCTCCTGTGTTAGGGTTCTGCCTCAGCAGAAGATGACCTGTGAAACTGAGGCATGGAGAAAGTTTCTGGAAGGTTGGAGATACTGGCTGAGGATTCCTGGGTGTAGGGAAGGCTCTGGAGGCATATGGCAGGTGATCTTTTTAGGTGTATGGGTTTGCATGGCAACATTTTGGGGGTTGGGGGTGGGCTATAGGGATGGCTTCTGTGAGAATCTGCTTGGAGCTTCCTTTGTGATCAAAAGAAATTATCATCACGAGCAATGTTAGCTAGAAGATGAATGCAAGCCAGTGGTCATCACAGGAGCAAGCAACTTATTCCAGCAACACTTAACATCCGTTTGTCCTAAACAAGGGTTCGGGATTCAGCATTCCTGTGATCAGCCAAGTTCTCACTTCTCTTCACAATGAGGAAAACTGCTTTTCTGAGACCTAACACCCATCTTGCCTTGTCTTAAGACCACAACCCCATCTGCTTTTACGCTGTAGTTTTCTGTTCAGGGCTGCAAACCAAAATACCTGTCAGTATATAGACTATACTACTTACATATACCTATATATATATATACACGCAATTAGTTAAACCTGGCCCAGGATAATCAACACTGAATGACACCAGGAGGCACTGGCTGGTTTTAGCCTTAAAGTAAAATCTCATCTGCCTTCTAAGCCAATCAAAGACTATTTGCCTCCACATAAATCAGCCCTTATCTCAGCCAGACAGGCCCTGCAGATGCTCATGTTATATCAAACTCTTCAGCTTCTGCTCTCAACACTCTAATCCAGTGATGTTGAGCTGAACCTAAGTGAATTATGACCCTTTTGCCCCAGGTGATGCTGACTCTTCAGTTTTATGGGATTACAAGAACTGAACAGAAATTACAGCTTTGTGAGCAGCCTGAGCCCTAATGATGGGGTGATATCCTTGCTTACAGGCCCTGAGCTGGCACAGAATGAATAAGGATTCTTCATCCACGGGGTAGTCATCCTATTTTTAAATGTCCATAAGGACACAGCAGAACAGGACATAAAACCCGAGAGATCTTCAGCCCGTGACAAACCAACATCTGACCATCCTGCTTTCTGCCATTGTTTAAAAAAAAACAAACCAAAATCCAAAAAAACAACCAAAAAACCTTCAGAATTTTTTCACACGTGAGGAAATGACAGATAACTCAGGATGACACCCTCACTGTTGCT